AGGTGACGTCAGTGCTGTCCACTATTTCACTATCATAAAAATTGGCAAGTGGAAGCACAAAAGGCAGGAGGAGGTGGAGGTGAAAGAAAAACGTAACTCTTACCATTTTACCTGAGTCTGCACAGAATGCTCCTGGACCATGTGCTGAAGAGCCAGCACTGAGCATGCAACTACTTTTGAGTGCCTCAGCCAGGACACTCAGTCTCGTCCACACCCCCATCCATGCCACATCACTGATGGTCATCTCGTCTGACACACACTGACCATGGCACCTGTTCTACAGGCCTACCAGAGTGAGAATTCCACTCCAGGAGATGGGGACTCCAAGCAAAGAGGGAAGGGGGGAACTCACCTGGCAAGAGCAACTCTCATCCGCCAGCCACCACTGAAGTCTTTCAGCTTCTTGCGCTGCATGGCAGGTGTGAAACCCAGCCCATGTAAGATCCTTGAGGCCCTCATCTCCGCTTTGTCAGCATCCAGCTCTTCCAGCCGCTCATAGAGTTCCATGAGCTTCTCACACTCCGCTGCGGGTGGGTGACACAGGACCATCAGCTCCCTGAGGGTCCCCGGAGGAAGCCCAGCCCACCCGTGGTGCAGAGCCCTACCATCCTCGTGAGCTAACCGCTCGGCCTCCCTCTCCAGCATGGCTCGCTCTGTGTCCACCTCCATCACACACTCCAAGGGGGTTTTCTCGCTAGGAGGCATCTCACGAGTCAGATGGTAGATGTCTATGTGCTCAGGGATGGGCACTTCACGTTTCCCAATAGCAGAGAGCAGCATGGATTTCCCTGAGAGAGAGAGAGAGACATAAAGAAACCCAGTCACTTCATCGTTCCTTTGTGCTTGTTTCTAACAGGCCCAGCATGCCCATTCTTTAACTGCCTCACTTCTTTTCACTCAATCAAATCCCACTATCCTTCACCTCAGGATTCCCTTTCCAACTTCCAGCCTTGTGCTGCTGCTCCTGTGAAGTCCTGTTTATTTACAATGGCTTCACACACCCTACTTACTCCCCACCCCCCGTTTCCCATACCAATTCTCTAACACCTTCTGTCAAAAACTACTCACTCGGTACTCACTGCACACTGCTGTGCCATAAATCCCCGGTCCCTGGCTTGTCTGTCCCCACTCATAGTATTAATTCCTTGCTTTGCTAGTGCTAAATACATACGGAGTGACACATGAGCCAAGAAGGAGAAACCTCCCACTTTGCCCTCTAAGGGCCTCACCAATTCCATTTAAGCCAATGAGACCATAACGACGGCCTGAGTTGAGTTCCAGTTTGGTGTCACTGAGCAGCTCTTGACCATGAAAGGTCAGTGAAAGGTTGATGATGTGGACGTCAGTGCTGTTGGGGTGAGAGGCCAGGACGCCGGTGACGGCTCGAGCAGCCGCTTTCTTCATCTCAAAGTCCTCTAGCTCCTTGGTCAGCAAATCAACTTCTGGAGACAAACCAATTTGGGAAGGGGCTGTCAGACAGACTCGGATCTGGGTCGAACAGGCAGATCTCACAGGACCCGAGCTCAAGTCATTCAAAGCGTACTCAAGAATTCCAAGATCGGCTGAGTGGTGGCGCACACCTTTAGTCCTAGCAGTCGGGAGGTAGAGGCAGGTGAATCTCTGAGTTTGAGACCAGCCTGGTCTACAGAGCGAATTCCAGGACAGCCAAAGCTACAGAGAAACCCTGTCACAAACAACCAAAAAACATTCCAAGAACTTCAAACCCAGTGCACATGGCAGACTTGCCCAATATCTGCTTTCACAGATGAGTTTCACTCTGTCCTCTTTTTGATTCTAAGCTCTCTTGTCGTAGCAAAGTCCTTTCCCTCCCACTGTGTTGAACCTCTCCACCGTCACTGCTAAGCCAGCTGGGGATAAGACTCCCTAAGGCCTAACTTCATCACACTAGCTAGTTTCCTTCTATAACTCTTACTATGGAGATGATTCTTACCACTTAACTCTTATCAGTCATTTTTAACTCTATTTTCTTTCTACTCCCATTGTTAATGTCATTATGCTTCTTCAGGTGTTTAGTGTTCTCTCTAACAATACTCCAAATGTGGTCCCTGCATATGCATATAAACAACCGAGATGACTAAAATAGACACAGATAACATTGCAGAATGTCTCAGGGGATAACGAAAGGACACAACCAATGTTAGCTGTCATGAAAAGGCTTTGAGAGTAAATCTCAAATACAGCTTGTACAAATACTATAGTATCAAAAGATGTATCAAAGGGACAATGAGCAGTCTACATGCAGCAGCAGGACTGTGTAGTGACTTTTCAGGGAAGTGAAGAGACAGGCACTAAACTGTAATGGTCATGACTATGCATTCCCACCTTTCCCCCTTGTCACAGTTAACGTCACAAAAACCTGGGAAGAGGGAACCTCATTGAAGAATTGCCTCCACCAGACTGGCCAGTGGCCGTGTAAGGCATTTTCTTTCTTTCTTTTTTTGGTTTTTAGAGGCAGGGTTTCTCTGTGGCTTTGGAGGCTGCCTTGGAACTCCCTCTTGTAGACCAGGGTGGTCTCAAACTCACTGAGATCTGCCTGCCTCTCCCAGTGCTGGGATTAAAGGTGTGCACCGCTGCTGCTGCTGCTGCTGCTGCTGCTGCCGCCGCCGCCACCACCAGGCTTGTAAGGCATTTTCTTAATTGTTAATTAATGTATCGGGTCCAGTGTGGGCAGTGCCACCTCCAGCTAGGTGGGTCTGTCTGGGCCACATCTGAAAGCTAGCTGAGCAAAACAGTAAGCAGCATTCCTCCATAGTCCTTGCCTTACTTCCCTCCAAGAGGGACTGTAACCTGGAAATATAACAGGAAATAAACTTTTTCCTCCCAAATTGTTTTTAATCAGTGTTTTGTCATGGCAATAGAGAAAGGAACCTAGAAAATAAAGCTTCTGAAAGTAAACTATGTTTATACTATGAGTGAGTAGCACAACAAATATGGAGAAATGCTCAATAAATCCCCAAAACACAACAAAACCAAAGCTGTTTTCTCAGGAAAATTAACTAAAACAATATGTAACAATAATTTACAAATTAGTATAATCACTATCCCTGTGACATCACAAGAGTACCATATGGTAAAGCCTGACATATCACCACTGTAGGTTAGAAGGAAAACCGAGAAAAATGATATTAGTTGCCTTTTCTTTTGTCTACTTCAGCATCAGGATAGACCAACAACCCCTAACCGCGTTTGTCACTTCAGTTTCGTTTCCTTGATCGGTAACAAGGTGGCACTATCTTTAACTTTATGGGTTTGCTTTTCACTAAAAAGTTTCACGGCATATAAAGGTGCATGTGTTGGGATTTTTACTTAGTAAAAGCAGCCCACGCTGGCCTCCTGAATGTTGGAATTAGGCCTATGCATCTGAATCCAACTAGAGACACTCTTCATTGCCTCTGCATCCAGATTCTCATTTTGTTTGGCTGAGGCAACCAGCTCAGGGAATTCACCCAATTCCCCTCCATCACCTGTGGTCTCTCTGCCATTGGCCTCCTCATTTTTCTCCTCTGCCACCTGAGGTTCTGTGACAGTGTCTCCATTTTCTTCATGTCCCTTTCTGGGCCGCTGTCGAGCTTTGGCGGCTTCCTTCTTTTTGGCTGCTTTTTTCTTGGCCAGGTCGGAGGGCATGGTGATGAGCCACAGGGGTAGTGACTGTTCTTTGAGTCTGAAGAAAAGCAAACAGATACTCCAAAATGCTAAACTTATCGGTAAGAATGTCTGAGCCGCAGTCCATCCCTCCTCGGAATTTTCCTATCAAGCCTCTGGTGCCCCACTCTGCCTCTGCCAACTTTGTCAGGGTCTCTTCGCACAGTCTGGACCGGTCTTCCCCAACTTGGCGCTCGCGCACCTCAGCCGGCTGCCTCCTTTTCGGGTCTTCGCCAGGAGTCCGACCCGGACCTGGTTTGGGCCGCTCCCCTCCACCCCACCGCCTGCGGCGCGGTTTCTCCCCGGGATCCACGCGTCCTCCCCGGCGGGTCCCAAAGGGTCTTCGCGCTCGCTGCCCCTAACCTCCCCCACAGCCCGCGCGCCGGCCTCTCCGCCTGGGCCACTTCTTTCCCCGTCCGGCCCTTTCCATCCCGACCCTGGTCTCCCTGCCGCGTCTCCTCCCGCTTCCTGCTCACGGGTCCGCTCTCCTCCCCTCCGGCTCGCCTTCCCCCTCACTCAACTCACGGGGCCTCGCCGCTCGGCCTCTGTCGCAACAGTGCTGCTCCTTGAGCTCCTCCGCGTGCGGCCGGCTCGTCAGCCAATCACGGCTCCCGGTGGCCCTTGGCGCGCTGCCGCGAGGGCTCCTGGGAAATGCAGTTCTTGACTCGCAACGACCTGGGGCGGGACAGTTCTCAAGAACTACCACGAAATCCCGAGAGTGGCGCGGTCCTAGTGACGCCATCAGAACGCGCGAGGCTCCGGGGCGAGGGAGGATTAGCGTCCGAGAGTCCCCGTCCCAGCAGGCCGGCTTAAAGTGTTGGGAACTGCAAGTCCCAGATTGCTCCTCGGAGAGGCGAGCCCGTCTCCCAGACAGTACCTACCTCTAGCAGATGGGTTTACCCGGCTGCCCAACCGGTTTAGCCAGCAGGGAGTGCAGCCACGCTTCCTTCCCAGCATGCATGCAAACAAAGGGAGGAGAGAGGGAGGGGTGGGGGGGGCAGGAAGGGGGGAGGGGCTGGGGGGGGCGGGCGGCGTGAGGGGGGGGTGGCCTTCCGCAGACCTCCACGCCGCTCCCCCAGTTTCATGGAGCCGAAATTGCAGAGCCGCGGCCATCGCTAACCAAACTTTTAGAACGTGCTAGAGGTGCTTGTATCTTAGCTGACAGCAACCGGATTCCATCAGAGCAGAGAGTCTAAAGTAAGCCGGCCGGAGGCGGTGGCCCACGCCTTTAATCCAGGCAGGCGGATCTCTGTGAGTTCGAGGCCAGCCTGGTCTACAAGAGCTAGTTGCAGGACAGCCTCCAAAGCCACAGAGAAACCTGTCTCGGAACCCCCCCCCCCCCAGAAAAAGAAAAGAAAACAACAACAACGAAAACCAACCCAACAAAATTTGAGTCTAAAGTAAAAGGACCACTGTAACACGAAGTAATATTAAATGACCCAGAGACTGATATTGGGTTTCAAGCTTCAAGCTAAATATCCGAAAAGCAAAGCAGCTGGCCACTAGCTTCTTACCTCTACCTCAGGCTGAATGGGCTGCTCCTGTCTCCACGAGCTCTCACCAGACTGTAACCTGGCTGTGGTTGGAGAATGAATTCTTCTCTGAGAACTTGCTTCTGTCTTACATACTTCCCTAATGTTGGGATTAAAGGTGTGAGCTATGATTCTCTTTTAGACTGATTCACTCTTGTGTAGATCTGGGTGGCCTTGGACTCAAAGATCCATCTACCTCTTAATCCCGGGTCTTAGAATTAAAGGTGTGTACCATCACCTAGCTTCTGGCTGCTGAGATTAAAGGCGTGTGCCTCGCTTCCATGGCTTGTGGGTGACTTTGCTTTCTGAATCCTCAGTCAAGCTTTAATAAATCACAAGTAATATATCACTACAGACTCAACTTTGCTGAGTTTAGGTTTGTGAACGATTACCTGTGACTTGTCTTGTTTCATTTCTTTTGAGTCTCCCTGTTTAACATCTGTAACAGACTTAGTGTTAAGTACACTATAAACTCTAGACTTGTAGCCTAAAAAACAATGTAACTCTTTTTTGACCCTTGTTACCTCTCCAGGCTCCAGTTCACTAGTGACTTTACTATTGATGACAATAAGGAAGCAAAAAAAAAAGGACACTTCCCTTGAGTTCACTTCAGAAAGTGAGCCCCTTTTCCTTTTCAGTTATCATTTTCCAAGCTAAATAGAATTAGGTTTGAAGGTCATTGAGGGTGGACATCATGAGCAGCTTCCTGTGTCTTTGATAACACACTAATATTGAGAAAAAAAGCATCACCCAAGATGTAAAAGGATTGCAAAGATCAGAAAAGGGAGGAAGGCGAAGGCAATGCTTTGTTGAAATGCACTAAGGGAAGCCTGTTTTGTCCTGGTAAGGGCTAGCTATTTTTTATAGACCCCCCCCCTTTAATTCTTTTTAATCTGCTGTTACATTGTTTGTAGACCCAAAGTTCTAACTTGGGCCCTGAGTAGAAACAAGACTCTCTGAAGGGGAGAGAGGAGGAGAGAAGGGGAGTGGGGAAAAAATGTATAGCTGCAATATAAGTAAATAAATAAATAAGATTTTTGAACTGGCAGGTATATTTTAAGATTACTGTTTAAGCAGAAGGCCTTTGACAATGAACAAAAATGCATATTGCTTCTTCCATTAAGAGTTAATCCAAAGAGTAGAGAGATGGCTCAGCTGTTAAGAGCACTTGCAGAGGATCATTTTTGGTTCCTAGCACACCCACATCAGGTGACTCCCAACTGCCTATGAAAACAGTTCCAAGAGATCCAGCACCCTCTTCTGGACTCTGCAGGCATTTACACACACACACACACACACACACACACACACACACACACACCAGCTGGGGGGCGGAGGGTACCCAAATGGGCCTGTTAATGGCCTGGACAGGAAAATGCTCAGGAAGCTGTTCCAGAAACTAGGAAATAGTATAAACCTGCCTAACCATTGTCCAACCCTACCTCTTGAGAAATGTTTTTCCTTGAGTGTTCCTTTTTAGGTCCACTGTCCACTTCTGCCTTTGAGAATGGCCTCATTTTGCTACATGGTAAACTATCTTCACTACTCTGTGTGCCTCACTGGAATTTACAAACAGATGACAATGACAGGGAAGCCAAGGGGGAGGTCACAGTAAGATCCCTATAACAACAAGACTCAGAAAGCATGGGCTGGAGAAATGGCTCAGAGGTTAAGAAACTGACTGCTATTCCAGAGGTCCTAAGTTCAATTCCCAGCAACCACATGGTGGCTCACAACCATCCGTTATGAGATCTGGTGCCCTCTTCTGGTGTGCAGATATACATGCAGATAGTACACTGTATCATGATAAATAAACCTTAGGAAAAAAAAATGACTCAGAAAGCTGATCCCACCTCTTCCCCCATAATAGAAATAGTTTATCTCCTTGATAGTTTACCAGGACTTATAGTTCAGATATGTCTCTTAAACACCATTGACCATGTTCCTAGGATAACCCCACCAGCTGAGTAGTGCTATTGCCATCTTACACACTTCAGTGTAGCAAGAAAACTTTATTTAAAGGCCAAGTAATAGTACAGATCAGAAATATACTGTCATCACTGTTGATCACAGGGCACATGTGTGAGAAACTCAAGTGTCTGAATAATGTTTAGGGCTTCCTCTTATGCAGTCCATTGCAGAACATTGTATACAAAATAAATAAAATCTTTAAAAATATGATTTGTTATGTATACAGTGTTCTGCCTGCACATATGCCTACATGCCAGAAGAGGGCACCAGAGCTCATTACAGATGGTTGTGAGTCACCATGTGGTTGCTGGGAATTGAACTCAGGACCTCCGGGAGAAGAGCCAGTGCTCCTAATCCCTGAGCCATCTCTCCAGCCCTGGGTTCTCTTTTGTGACAGACAGGTTTGAGTTACATAAGCTTGTGCTCACTACTTACGACCTTTTCCCGTGATGCATCTGATCTTTAAATTTTTATTTGTTTGCTTATTATTGTGTGTATACCACATGCACACTGATGCCACAAGACAACCTGAATAATTGATTCTCTCCTTCCACCATGGATTCCCAGAGTCAAACTCAAGTCATCAAGCTTCGGTGGCAAGGGCTTTTTTTTTTTTTTTTTTTTTTAACCTGCTAAGCTATCTTACTAGCCCTTTAAAACTTTTGTGTGTATGGAATATGCGCACATGTGTGGATGGGTGTGTGCTCCTGTGTGGGGGAGGGCAGAGGAGGATATCAGGTGTCCTGCTCTATCATGATCTACATTATTCCCTTGAGACAGGGTCTCTTATTGAATCTGGAGCGAGCTGGCAGTCAGCAAGCCCTATTAATCCTCCTGTCTCCACACCACCCTGTAGTTGGAATTTTCTTTGGGCCACTACCTCACAATAATGACACAGAGACTTACTAATTATGAAAGTTTGGGATTAGCTTAGGCTTGTTTTTAACCAGTTCTTACAACCTGACACATTTCTATTAATCGATGTTCTGTCAGGTACAGCCTATCCTGCTCCCTCCTGTGTCTCTCTTGCACTCCTATATCCTCCTCCTCCTTCCTCTCTCTGCCTGGAAGTCTCTCCTATGCCTCCTGCCTCGCTATTGGTTGGTCAGCTTTTTATTATTACACCAATCATAGCAATACACCTTCACAGAGTGTACAAATATACCACAATACCACCCTCCACAGCACTGGGGTTACACACATATTCAACCATGCCCGTCCTTTTATGAGTTCTGGGTCTTTGAGCTCATGCTTGTGTAGCAAGTGCTTTTAAATGCTGGGCAATCTCCCTAGACCCATGCATCTGATGTAATGTGCAATCCCAATTATGCGTAGGCATAAAATGGCAATCGGGGATTCTCCCTGAAACTCCAAAGGACACAGTTTCTCCGATTGCACAGACACCCAAAACCATTTTAAGCTAGATTATCCCATTTCTCTTGTTTTCAGGGTGAGTTCCAACATATTTCTGAGTAGAAACCGGGCATTACCTAGGGGTCACTAAGGGAGTAACTTGTTTCTATTGTTTAAGGTTGGTATAACTACAGGCTGATACAGATGGGGGTCCCAGATTTCCAACAGGATGCTGGGTGCACTGTTGGGAGAGATGTCTTTGTGCATAGTATAGGCAAGTGGGGGTCCTAGGTGGCCAGGTGAATTGTTAGAGAGTGAATGGTCTGAACTAAGTGGAATCTGAGGTTGCTGAGCCTGTCTCATTACTAATTAAGCCCACATGGGACTTCTCTACTGAGAAGTTATTCCTTGACTCCTGAGAAAGCTCTTAAGGAGCCTTATTAAAGAGAGCCTACACTGAATTACAAAAGAGTTTGTCACATTTTCATATAGCATATGTCATTCATCTCCATTACTTTTTCTTGCCCTACCTCTTAGACCCTTCTGAAGACAGAGCTTTGTTGTTCATTTGTATGTTTGTGTCATGCTAAGGATTGAACCGAGGGCCCTGTGCTTGCTTCACGTATGTCTCCACTGAGCTTCAATCCCAGTGCACGCACACTCACACCCCACACACCCTACACACACACACTGATGATTTATACCTCAGCCTCCAAAATAGATGAGATGACTGGATTATGAATCTGTGTTACCAGGATGTTTTTCAGGGGCTCATGTAGCCTAAGCCTTAAATTCTTCTGTGTAGCCAGGATGACTTTTTTTTTTTTTTTTTTTTTTTTTGTTTCTCTGTGTAGCTTTGGAGCCTATCCTGGCACTCGCACTGGAGACTACACTGGCCTCGTACACACAGAGACCCGCCTGCCTCTGCCTCCCGAGTGCTCCCGAGTGCTGGGATTAAAGGCGTGCGCCACCAACGCCCGGCTCAGGATGACTTTGAGCTTGTGATTCTCCTGCACCTCCCGAGTGCTAGGATTATGGGCATGAGTTATATGTACTGAGATCAAGCCCAGGGCTTCATGCTTACGCCACAAGCCCATCTCCAGCTCTCCTCCCCCCCTTCTCTATATATATTGCACAGACACCCAAAACCATTTTAGATCAGATTATCCCATTTCTCTTGTTCTCATATAAAAGAAATGACTTCCATGCACCATTGTAATGCCAAGGAGGCAGGGCTGTCACTTGGCACACGCTGCTTTATGCAGACCCAGCTCTCCCCTTCAGAGCCTAACCTTGGGCAATGACTGTACTTTCCTCTGGGAGTAAGAATGACAGTAATACAGTTTTACCTCATATTGGTTAGAAAGATTAAATTAGTCAAATTCCTAGGTTTCTATTAGACAATGAAGTTCCATTAGGCTTATGTTGTGAGCTTCTGTGGCTTGTAGACTACTTGTCTAAGGGCTGGGCGGTGGTGGAGCGTACCTTTAATTCCAGCACTCCAGAGGCAGAGACAGACGGATCTGAGTGAGTTCAAGGCCATCCTGATCTGCAGAGTGAGGGCCAGGACAGGCTTCAAAGCTACAGAGAAACCCTGTCTCAACCCAACTCAACCAAAGAAAGAAAGAATACTGGTCTAAGGATAATGTATATTAGCTGTTTATTCAATATAATATTATTAGTAAACAGAGCATTAAGTATGAACAAAAGCTAAATAACTAAAATCCCTCTTGTTTGCCACATAAGCACAGGGCCCTGTGCTTGGATCCCTAACACTCATGTAAAAAGCTGGGCACAGTGGTACTCACCTGTAATCCCAGTACTGGGGAAGTGAAGACAGACAGATCTCTGGGACTCCCTGGCCAGCCAGTCTACCTGAGTCAGTAAACTCTAGGCTTAGTAAAGTGCTCCAAAAATGAATCCCAGAGTGATTTCGGAACACGCTGTGTCCACATGTGTACCTCAGGCCTCCGCCTGCATAGACGCATAAATACACACATCTGCATAGACACAAACACACACACATGTACCACACACAAAGACACAACCCCTCACGCAGGAACCGAAGCCTCCTGGGACCACTGTTGATAACATATCTCCTCCTCTCTCAGTCTTACTTAACATAGTGGTCACAAGCAATTAAGAGCTTACAAGAGAATAATATTTATTTTTAACACTAACAATTCATTATGCTATTTCTATCATATTTAATTCCCCCAGAAAATTCTGAGGTGATGTTGTTACCACTGTTTCCATTCTACACACAAGCCCGGGGAAAATGCTTAATGTTAGGAAAAAAAAAAAGAAAAAGAAAAAGAAAAACAAATCAAACAACAACAAAAACCACTGCTACTTAGAGCCAGTACAAGAATTTAAGGCTGAAATCTTTTGGTTCTCTACCATCAGGTACTGTTAGTGTAGCCAATCACAGTTGTGATATCCTATGAGTAAACAGTTGATAGGCAGAGTCCTCTTCAGCAAAGTTAGTGTCTTAGAAAACTTGCTAACTGCTTGGATTATTTTCATTCCCACCCAGAGTTAAAACTGTGTGCACAGAAAAGTGCCAGGGATGAGAGAAGAAATGAAGGCTAAATATGAATCACAAAAAGTCATAGTTCAGCAAGAACTGATTATTAGGTCAATTTGTCCTGGTTTCAAAGTTTGCATATGGAAGAATCTAGATTACCATTTCAATATTGATTACATGTTGAACTGACATTTTAGTTTTATCTTGTAGTAGTTTGAGTATGGTTGGCTCCCATAATCTCAGAAGGAGTGGCACTATTAGGAGGTGTGGCTTTGTTAGAATGGTGTTACGTGAACCCACGAGAGTCTGTTAAAGGGTCTCAAGGATTTATAGAATTTATTTAGGTGTAAAATGGGGATAAACACTCACTGATATAGAACAGATCAGATACTGTTGGCAGCCATATAGCTTGGCATGAACCTTTAGGCCAAACTTGGCAAGCCACACAGTTATAGAACTGTCTTTTGATTATAAATGGTGTCTAGAAGCATGAGCACCAGAAGGAACAACATGACCCAGATGTCAATCCTTTGTTCCAAACACAGGCCTACTTACCTAAGCAACCCTCCCGAGTCCCACCACTCACCTAGGTAACCCTCCCTCTCCCCACCACCCATGAACTTTTTACCCTGCCAACATCCTCCTCCTATAGTTTTCTGACATCCTGCTTGAACTAACACCTGGCTCTTGGCCTTTTCTCCCCCTCCCCTTTACCCCATACCACTGACTGTATAAGCTAGCCTGGGAAAAATAAAATTTGTCACTTGATCAGAATCCTGTCTTCTGGTCATTCTCTCGAGTCTCTTGTCCCCATTCCCCTCCCTGGATATCTTGCCCTAAGTTGCTGTCCTGCAGGTTGGGACAACTACAAGATACCACTATGATCCAGTGGCTGTGTCTCCTGCCATTTTGCCCAGGGGAGGGGAGACACCCCTCAGCTTTTAAGCGGTCATATACACAGACAAGACCATGCCCTAGGGCTTGCTGCCTCAAAGGCCATTGGCTAAATGGATGGAAATCCCACAACAGAGTGGGTATGGCCTGTGGAGGAAGTGTGTCACTGTGGGGTGGGCTTGGAGGTTTCCTATGCTCAGGGTACTGCCAGTGTTTCAGCTGACTTCTTATTGCCTGCAAGATGTTGGACTCTCGGCTCCAGCACCCGCCATGCTCCCCGCCATGACTGAATCTGTAAGTGAGCCGTTCTCAATTAAATGTTTTCCTTTGTAAGAGTTGCTGTGGTCATGGTGTCTCTTCACAGCAATAAAATCTCTAAGACATATCTAATACAAAGTAAAATATTAAAGCTAATTCTACCCATTCCTTTTACTTTTAATGATTGTGGCAATAGCCAGGCACGATGGCACGCGATTATGATCCTAGCACTGAAGAGGCAGGTGCAAGTGGATTTCTATGAGTTCATGTCATGTGGTCAGACTTTGTGTCAAAATTAAAACAGTATAAAATTATAGTTTCTTGACAATAACATAAAGAGAAGTAAAGGGAAATACTGTGTAATAAAATAATATTTCAGTATGCTCAAAAGTGAAGGAGAAGAGAGAGAATATCCCGAAGGCGGCAGCACAAAGGTATTCTGAGCACTGCCATGCATCCCTATAAATGACAAACTTTCTCCAAAAAGATAACCATCTGCCATCCATATGAGCGGCTTCTGAAGAACTTAGCACAGGGCTGGAGAACTTGCTGCTCTTCCAAGGACCCAGGGGCTGCTCCCAGCACCTACTTGGCTGTACACAATATCTATAACTCCAATTCTAAATGAAGTGATGTCATCTTCCGGCCTGCTTTGTTACTGGACACATGTGGTACACAGACATACATGCAGGCAAAGCAAACAAACAAACATTCTCTCTCTTTTCCTTCACTTTTGAACATACTGAAATATTTTATTACACAGTATTTCCCTTTACTTCTTTTTATGTTATGGTCAAGAAACTATAATTTTATACTGTTTTAACAAACAAACTTAAAGAATTTAGCACGTTACAAATTCTACAGAATTGGTTCTCTTTTTTTTTAGCAGGGGTGGGGGGTGAGAGGAGGAGGGGTAAGTCAGGATTTGTCTCTCTGGCTGTCCTAGAACTTGCTTTGTAGATCAGGTTGGCCTGGAACTCACAGAGATCTGCCTACCTCTGCCTCCCAAGTGCTGAGATTAAAGGTGTGCACCACCAATGCCCGGCTAGAATTGGGTCCTTTTTTTTTTTTTTTTAAAGCACAGGTGCAAGGATAAGAATATCGCAACCATTTTTTCCCCACCTACAAGAATGTTCAGGACGTTGAAAGCTACATGGGATCAGGACAGCTTTCATATGAGACACCTTCTTACAACGTACAAAACAACACACACACACACACACACACACACACACACACACACACACGCGGTATCATTTGACAGCAAAATTGTCCCTGTACATTTCCAAACTGCCCTCTAGGGGTGGCGCTGTCCTTCTTGGGAGCCCACTGCCATCTTCTCCTGCAGGCTCACCTTGGGCTGTTTTGCACTTGGCTCTAGCTTGCCCTGGCCTTCCTTGGTCAATCTCCTCGATCTCTCAGGGCTTTCCTGTGCTCTCCTTGCCAGGAAAACTCTTCTTTACGTCTGGATAAATCTTGCTGGAACTTGGCATCTCAGCACGTCCATATATCACAGCCTAATTAGATTCTTCCCGCTTGGTTTTTCCAGTTACTTCTATATTTCATATGTGTGTGTGTGTGTGTGTGTGTGTGTGTGTGTGTGTGTGTAGCAGAGGCACAGAGCTCAGATCTGCAGTCTTGGTGGCGAGCACCTGCACACTTACTTATATGTGTGTGTATGTGTGTGTGTATGTGTGTGTGTGTGTGTGTGTGTGTGTGTATCAGAGGCACAGACTCAGGTCTGCAGTCTTGGTGGTGAGCACCTGCACACGGCGAGTCGTCAATCCCTTGCTTCTCTGCCTTGAGACTTACCGCATTACGTTACTGTCTACGGCTGTGTGTGTGTATGTGTGTGTGTGTGTGTGTGTGTTTGTGTATCAGAGGCACAGACTCAGGTCTGCAGTCTTGGTGGCGAGCACCTGCACACTTACTTCTATATTTATGTGTGTGAGTGTGTGTGTGTGTATCTGTGTGTGTATCAGAGGCACAGACTCAGGTCTGCAGTCTTGTTGTCGAGCACCTGCACACGGCGAGTCGTCAATCCCTTGCTTCTCTGCCTTGAGACTTACCGCATTACGTTACTGTCTACGGCCTGTCTCCAGCAATTCTCCCGTCTTAAAGCCACAGGATGAATCTGAGGCTAGCCCGGGGCATCTTTCTTTAGAGCTAACAGGGCTGAGCTGGAGTGGGGGAACACCTCTGGTCCAGTTGGGGTTCACCAGCCTTGGTGCTGGGAGACACAGCCTCCGAGTTGAGCCGTGCAACCGCGACCATAGAGAGCGCGAGGCGGGAGCGAGGAGCCGGATGTGGTCACCATAGAGACGGTGACTGACAGGCAGCGGAAGAGGAAGCCCGGGGAGGGCTAGGCTGTGAGGTGGCAGCGGCTGCACAGGGGAGCTCCCCGTCACCCCTGGACGCCGGGCCTCCTCTGCAGGCGCAGGACGTAGGCGGTGCATTCCTGACCCCGGACGACCGGCTAGCATTCGCTCTGGGCTTCTTCCGAGGGTTGGCACGGGGCCGCGGTTGCCCAGGGACCTAGTAGGGCCCGGGTGGCTCAGGCGGGGGTCGTGTTTGGAAGGTGGTGAGCCTGTGCTGGCCTTCCCAGACCCCGGTTCCTCTAGCTGCAGCTGTCCCCGGGGTGCTTTGTTCGGTAACCCCTAGATACAGCAAGAGTGCCTATAATTTGTGACTTGCTGCCCTTAGGAAGGTGAACAGCAGCACCTCTTGCAGGACTGAGTGGGATGGCCTGCAAAATGGCTCCGTCAGCCATTGCGCTCCTCTGAGAGACCAGTTGTGCTGAGTCACCGTGGCTGCCCACTTCATTTGGGTGGGCAGATGGGAGTGCACCATGCATGGTTAGTGATCTTATGTGACAAGGAGGGAGGGAATAGAACTTGCGTTTCTGTGACACTCAGCAGCAGCGTGCAGCAGTAGGGTCAGGAGTGCCTTCGTGGGCCTGAGCAGACATGGTGGGCCGTGATACCTACAGGACAGGGCAGGGTGGCTGAGGTGCGACTGTGGTTTGGATGGCGCCTGCGCTTTTCTCCCTGCTCATCAGGTGCTGCTGACATCTGAATTAGGCCCGTGCTTCAGATGGTGTAACCCCTTCTTGTGATGGGTTTGACAGTATTGCACTTTCTTTCCCCTCTCTTCTGGACCACAGACTGCAAGCCCAGTAATGAGTGGCATGGTTTACGTGGACATTAGTATTTTGTTGAGAGGTATCAGCACTATGGCCACTGAAGACCAGGCATAGGGAGTTGGGAAGACTTGGTGGGGGATGCAGGACTTGGAAGCCAGCGCACTTTGCTCTTTTCTCTGTTGCTGACCTCATTTACCTCAGGTTCCCTGGTTTAAACTGTGTGGCTACTGCAGGCCTGGTGCCTGTCAACCTATTGATCCTTGAGACTGTGCCCTGGGGCACTCCATGTCAGGGCCTGCCACCATGCGACTGAGCTCCCTGTTGGCTCTGCTGCGACCAGCGCTCCCCCTCATCCTGGGGCTGTCTCTGGGATGCAGCCTGAGCCTTCTGCGAGTTTCCTGGATCCAGGGTGAGGGAGAAGATCCCTGTGTAGAGGCTGTGGGGAAGCCAGGAGGGCCACAGAATCCAGACTCAAAAGCTGGGTTGGACCAAAGTGATGAAGACTTCAAACCCAGGATTGTCCCCTACTACAGGGATCCTAACAAGCCCTACAAGAAGGTGCTCAGGTGAGGGTGATATGTGCACAGTCCCCCAGCACTGATCCTCATTCTAGAGCTGTTTGCTGCTGTGTTTGCATTGCTACTCAGTGTTACTTTCCTAGAAGCACGTGTTTCTGATCTTGGTTTGTTCCCACTTTATCCCTGCCCAAGTCTGAGAGTCTCACCCATTCGTGTTGATGTTCACAGGTCTTTTTTTTTTTTTTTTTTTTTTTTTTTTGGTTTTTCGAGACAGGTTTTCTCTGTGGCTTTGGAGGCTGTCCTGGAACTTGCTCTTGTAGACCAGGGTGGTCTCGAACTCACAGAGATCGGCCTGCCTCTGCCTCCAGAGTGCTGGGATTAAAGGCGTGCGCCACCACTGCCCGGCTCACTGTTCTTGGACAGAGCTGTGGCTGCCCTAACCTACTGAATAGACCTGAGCAGACCCTGCCCCCACCTGCTAGTATCACCAGCATCACCTGCTTGGTGGCACTCACACCAGAAGCTAGTTAGTAGTGAGTTCCTTCCCCTTTCCCAGGCCCAGCTCTTTCAAGCTGGCAGTGCTTCCCTAAGGACTCAGGAGTTGACCCCTTACCTTCTGATCTCTCCACAGGACCCGATATATCCAGACAGAGCTGGGCTCTCGAGAGCGCTTGCTGGTAGCTGTCCTGACTTCCCGCACCACACTGTCCACCCTGGCTGTCGCTGTTAACCGTACAGTGGCACACCACTTCCCTCGAATACTCTACTTCACAGGGCAGCGAGGGGCTCGGGCTCCTGCAGGGATGCAGGTGGTGTCTCATGGAGATGAGCGGCCTGCCTGGCTCATGTCAGAGACCCTGCGCCACCTTCACACACACTTTGGGGCTGACTATGACTGGTTCTTCATCATGCAGGATGACACATATGTACAGGCCCCCCGATTGGCAGCTCTTGCTGGCCACCTTAGCATCAACCAAGACCTGTACTTGGGCCGTGCAGAAGAATTCATTGGCTCAGGAGAGCAGGCCCGGTACTGCCACGGGGGCTTTGGCTACCTGCTGTCACGGAGTCTCCTGTTGCGTTTGCGGCCACATCTGGATGGCTGCCGAGGGGACATCCTCAGTGCGCGGCCCGATGAATGGCTTGGCCGCTGCCTCATCGACACTCTGGGCGTCGGCTGTGTCTCACAGCACCAGGTGACAGCCCCTTCAAGGCAGTCCCAGTCCCCCAGAGGTTGGCAGTGACTGAATGATTGCTGTCCAAATTGAATTCTCGAGACCATCCTTTTGTCCTTCCCAGATGCCAGCCTGCCCCTTCAGCTCTCCCTTGCTCACCTTACAGCACTGGGGCCATCAAAAGTGCGTATCTTTAGGGACCCCTAAAGCCAGAAAGGTCCCAACTCACCACCTCCCACCCCATTTCCACATCCAGTGCATATCACAGTTAAGGACAATGTGAAAATGTTCTAGAGTTGGCCACTCCCAAAGTGGAAAGTCCAGAGTTCCCGCTACTACCCCAGAGAGTAGCTCTGTACCTCTTCATAAGGTAGAGCATCCCAGAGGCAAGCCATCTGAGACACCAGCCTACTGGGAGGGTCTTCTGTGACTGTATTCTCATTGAACAGTGGCGTCCCTGGGGGAGGAGAACGTCCTTAGCTGCCTATTTGCTTTCTCCTTTCTAAAGTGTGGGCACTGGAAGTAGGAATGCAGGTTAGGGAGCCACTGCATTCCTGTCCTCTAAAGCAGCAGCAGCGATAGGAGTGAATGCTAAGGATTGCTGAGGGAGCTTTGGGAATAACGGCTTATGTGTGCAGCATTGATTGTCTGATTGGTCCCTCTAGGGACAACAGTATCGCTCCTTCGAACTGGCCAAGAATAGGGACCCTGAGAAGGAGGGGAGCTATGCTTTCCTGAGTGCCTTCACCGTTCACCCTGTCTCCGAGGGTACCCTCATGTACCGGCTCCACAAACGCTTCAGCGCTCTGGAGTTAGAGCGGGCTTACAACGAAATAGAACAACTACAGGTGAGCTGATGCTGTGAGCTGTGCCTGGGGGCCATGGCTGGAAGTGTACAGGGAGCCGGGGGAGTCAGGCTTACAGGGAGAAGGCAGCTGAGTTGGGGGCCGGGCTAGTAGGATAGAAAGAAGCTAACTTCCTACAAATTTAAAATCACCACAGGGACAAGGGACCCTGGGGTCCAGGACATTGTAAAGTAAGCTCAGGGCTGACTTAAGTGCCACCAAATGTGTAGGTAGACTTGCTTAAACACCCCTACAGTACTACTCTCCTCTGAGACAGCAACCCACAAAGTCCCAAGCTGCTAGAATTGTCCTAAAAAGGCCCAAAAGGTAGACGAGAGGGGAGTCCTATAGTGTGGGGATCTCCAGAGGTGGGGTATAGATCAAAAGTTTGATCGTGAAGAGGGTGAGTCCTGTGGGCGTGGGAGTGAAACTTGTTGAGCTCTGTGTTTTGAGATCCTCTTCTCTGCAAAGCACAGGATCTGCCTGGCAGCAGCTGTGTAAGGTGGGTAGCACTCACCTCGCTTCTGCACTTTAGATGAAGACTGATGTGATATATGAAAAGGACTAGGTGTTTAGCCAGGACTCTGCTGTTGGAGCCTCAGAACCTGGGCATCTGGACTCGGGTGGGATCTTAAAACCAGCACTAATGTTGGGTGCATTCCCTCCAACCTAGGCTCAGATCCGGAACCTGACGGTGCTGACCCCCGAAGGGGAGGCAGGGCTGAGCTGGCCTGTAGGGCTCCCAGCCCCTTTCACTCCACACTCTCGCTTCGAGGTGCTGGGCTGGGACTACTTCACAGAGCAGCACACCTTCGCTTGTACAGATGGCGCTCCCAAATGCCCTCTGCAGGGAGCCAGCAGGGCAGACGTGGGCGATGCTGTGGACACCGCTCTGGAGCAGCTCAATCGGCGCTATCAGCCCCGCCTGCGCTTCCAGAAGCAGCGGCTGCTCAATGGCTACCGGCGCTTTGACCCTGCCAGGGGTATGGAGTACACCCTCGACTTGCTTCTGGAAGCTGTAACTCAGCGAGGGCACCGGCGCTCCCTGGCCCGCAGAGTCAGCCTGCTGCGGCCACTAAGCAGAGTGGAAATCCTGCCTATGCCCTATGTCACTGAGGCTACGCGGGTGCAGCTGGTGCTGCCGCTCCTGGTGGCCGAAGCTTCCGCCGCCCTGGCTTTTCTTGAGGCCTTTGCTGCCAGTGTCCTGGAGCCTCGAGAACATGCATTGCTCACCCTGCTGTTGGTATATGGGCCCCGGGAAGGCCGCGGGGGCCCTGACCCGTTTCTTGGGGTGAAGGCTGCAGCAGCTGAGTTAGAACGACGGTACCCTGGGGCAAGGCTGGCCTGGCTTGCTGTGCGAGCAGAGGCCCCTTCCCAGGTGCGACTCATGGATGTCATCTCCAAGAAACACCCAGTGGACACACTCTTCTTCCTTACCACCGTGTGGACAAGACCTGGGTCGGAAGTCCTCAACCGCTGCCGTATGAATGCCATCTCTGGCTGGCAGGCCTTCTTTCCAGTCCACTTTCAGGAGTTCAACCCTGTTCTGTCACCACAGAGATCCCCCCCAGGTGTCCCTGGGGCTGGCCCCGAACCCCCATCCCCTGGTGTTGACCCCTCTCGGGGGGCTGCAGTCGGGGGCAGATTTGACCGGCAGGCATCGGCAGAGGGCTGCTTCTACAATGCTGACTACCTGGCAGCCCGTGCCCGGCTGGCTGGTGAACTGGCAGGCCAGGAAGAGGAGGAAGCCCTGGAGGGGCTGGAGGTGATGGATGTTTTCCTCCGGTTCTCAGGGCTCCACCTCTTTCGAGCCGTAGAGCCAGGGCTGGTGCAGAAGTTCTCCCTGCGGGACTGTAGCCCCCGGCTCAGTGAGGAACTGTACCACCGCTGTCGCCTCAGTAACCTGGAGGGGCTGGGAGGCCGTACCCAGCTGGCCATGGCTCTGTTTGAACAGGAGCAGGCCAACAGCACTTAGCTTCCCTACCCCTGTGCCTGCCATAGCCCCAGGAAGGGCAAGGCAAGGTGATGGACAGATGGAGGGCTTGTCACTGTATTTTTTTAATAATAAGAAAATGTTATTAAAAGTATCTTCTGCCAAACTGTTTTTAGGTCTAGGGAGAGGGGTAGGAAGAATGATGTGTGGGAGGGTTGGGGAATTTGTCTGCGGGGTCCCACTGCCTCCTCCCTCTTTCCCTCCCTCCCTCCCCAGCCCCCAATGACCACGAGGCTGCTGTCTGATGAGTGACCTTTAATCCAGTCCTCCCCACTCTGCCTGCAACCCCACCGCAGCAGGGGACGGAGGCCAGAGTCCAGGGCCTATGCTGGACAGTGTGGCTGGCTGGTCCACAGTGATGCTTGTTCATGGGCTCCTAGGTGTTGCGCACGACCAGCGATTGCTCCAGCTCCTGCCTGCGCTGCTGGATCTTTAGAGGAAGTGTGAGCAAGGGCAGGGTTACAGTGATCCTGGTGAGTGACCAGGGGGCACCCCTTCCTGGCACCCCTTCCCTGGAAGAGTCTGGGAGCCAGGAGACTACTGCATGGGGTTGTAGGGTGGTGGACAGGTGTTAAGCATGGCAGCAGCAGAGACTGTCGGAAGGTGAGAAGCAAGGGTTCTTTAGGATTGGAAGACAGGGAACCCTCATGTTCAAGGACCTCCATTACCTTACAGTAGAAGTAGCGGCTGAC